GAACAGTTAACTGTAATACAATATTTCACAATATTACAGTTTTTACTGTATTTCCGATCAAATAAAAGCAGCCTTGGTAAGCATAAGAGAGTTGCTGCAAAGAAATTATGGCAAATTATTTCTTTCAACTCTATTTTACATAAACTGATGGGGCACACATGGGCCATAGTAAGTCAAATGTGTGGGTCAGTGAGGTTTTATTTGTTGCATTTACCATAGTGTAATAAATTCCTCTTTTTAACTGAGTGTGTTTTACTACTGAAGTGAAAAACTATGGAATGGCAATCATAAACTGAGCTTTTCATGTCATTTTCACATGAGAAATAAACAAAGATTTCCTACAGCAGTGTTGTCAGAGAGGTAAATCCTACAGCCTTTCCTGACCTGTGCAGTAACTTGCCTGTTACTGTTAATATGGCATGTGTCTTTTGGTAGAACAGAATGTGGTTTTGCATTGACCCTACGTGCATCTGGCCTCATTCTACTTCCTTTATTTTCTTTTATGGTGAGCAGGAACTTCTCTTGTCTGTTTGTTTTCAGAGCGTGCAGCAGAGCAGAGGATCAGACTGCGTTTGGAGGAGGATACCATCCCTTGCCTCCACAGCACTTTTTTTTGTAAGGAAATGCAGGTGATGGAAAAAATGAGGAGAATATTAATGTATGTGTTTAAGGTATGCGTTTTAGTATGCCGGCGGAGCTAATAATGGGCCCATGTGTGTGTGTGTGTGTGTGTGTGTGTGTGTGTGTGAGAGATGAGTCTCAACAGAACGAAACGACTGTGGAATTCTGAATGAGGCTCAATGAGATTATGCTGTCAGATCACGCCAACAGATGATCAGGACCCCAGAAATAATACAAGACACAGTATGTGTGTGTGAGTGTGAGAGGGAGGACAAAAGCTCTTTGCAATTTAAATGTATGCAAGATACCACAAAAACAGTTTGTCAGTAAAGCAGCGTTTCTGTCCCGTGTGTTCAAGAGAACAAAATCACCACTTCTGGAAAACTTTCACATGACTTTTTAAATGCACATCTATACATTTATTTGCTAAATGTGCTTTCATTTGATGTGCATTTTATTTTTATCAAATAAATGTATCCATCTCAAGTAAACATATGCATTTCTTGCACATTTTATTCACGTCTATTCAACCAAATGTGCCAAAATGTACATAAAAATACATGAAAATACAACACCATTTTAGTGTTGTAAATATAGTACCATAGTTTTTATTAATACTTTGAGTTTTTTGTTTTCCATTTCCATTTTCTTTTAATTTTTAATTTTTACATTTTTAAATGTTTTTTATTTTGTCTGTTTTATTTTTGGTTCTTTTAGTACTTTCTCTTTAAGTAAACATGCATTTTTAATGCACATATTTCCCACCATATATTCCAAAATTTGCATAAAAAATACACGGATAGCTATTTTAGTATTGCTAACAGAGTTTTTATTAAAGTGTGTGTGTGTGTGAGATGAGTCTCTACCTTTCGGCCCTTTCCCTGGTGCTGGTTCAGCGGTGCTGCGGGTCCATATCAGCATGATTCCTCCTGAGTCTCCGGTCAGGATGTCTCCATTATTGAGGAAGGCCAAACACTGAACAAATTTGGGCTTCTCGTATTTCTGTCATAGACACAAATACAAAAGTAATACACATAAGGTCAGGTTTTATAAATTCTATGTACTATGTACTAGTCTGTGCTTTGTATATCAAGCTGACTGCAGCATTAGTCTATAAATGTTTCTTGGGCTGGGATATGTTGCTAAAATAAAATTGATCTTATATTTTTCTTCCTTTTCACTCTATTTCATACATAGCTCAATATTTACTGTGTTTTCTCTGACTGAAATAGTGATTTTTGTCCCCCAATAAGTGAACATCTAGTTATAATAATCATGTTATGTTTTTTAACATTGTTATTAACTAAATGATCACAAATATATGAAACAATATAACAAAGTGCATAGTAAAAAGCAGCAATATTTACCTACAGTACAACTATTTTTACTAAAACTTTTCAATATAAAAAAAAAATGCATCATGGATACTTCCATGGACATTATGCTAAATAATCACTGATTCAGAGTTCTGAATCGATTTGTTTATTTCAAACTTTTATGCTGTTTTTGAAATTGTTTAAAGCTATGTACTAGTCTGTGCTTTGTATATCAAGCTGACTGCAGCATTAGTCTATAAATGTTTCTTGGGCTGGGATATGTTGCTAAAATAAAATTGATCTTTATATTTTTTCTTCCTTTTCACTCTATTTCATACATAGTTCAATATTTACTGTGTTTTCTCTGACTGAAATAGTGATTTTTGTCCCCCAATAAGTGAACATCTAGTTATAATAATCATGTTATGTTTTTTAACATTGTTATTAACTAAATGATCACAAATATATGAAACAATATAACAAAGTGCATAGTAAAAAGCAGCAATATTTACCTACAGTACAACTATTTTTACTAAAACTTTTCAATATAAAAAAAAAATGCATCATGGATACTTCCATGGACATTATGCTAAATAATCACTGATTCAGAGTTCTGAATCGATTTGTTTATTTCAAACTTTTATGCTGTTTTTGAAATTGTTTAAAGATTAAAATCATCTGTAACACTCTTATACTCATGAGTTGCAAGACCAAGAGGGATCTTGAAACTAGTGTAATGACTCAGTCTCTGGGAAACTCAACTGTTAAATAAAAAGCACAAAAAAAGGAATAGTTCATCCAAAACGTCAAAATCACAATAATCCATAAGAAATCCATCAAGACAATTTTAACTTCAAACTGTCGTCTAAAATACAAGTCTTCTATCCAGTGAAAAATTCATAATGTGAGAGGACAACAAGGGATGGATTTTTCATTGGAGGAAGCGTTATTATGGATTCATATTTTGGCCTGAATTGTAAAGTTAAAATGCTTTAATGATGGGTTTATTTCTTAAAAACAGGCATTTTTTTCATGAGCTGTTAATTGATGGACCAGAATCAGATTACTTATTGTGATGTTTTTATCAGCTGTTCGCACTCTCATTCTGACGGCACCCATTCACTGCAGAGGATCCACTGGTGAGCAAGTGATGGAATG